TGCCTAAAGCATGATTACGTTTTGATTGCCCCAATGTTTTTGTTTCTTATCTGCTTGATTCATTTGTGCCTATGAGAAATGTCAACAATAACTCTCTTAATGTACTCTACATTTGCTACTTTTTTCAGAAGAGCTAGTTTAATGTTCCTATTTTCATAACATTTCTTAATATGGATTGAATATTAAGAGGGCACTTCTGCCTCACACGTCTTGCCTTTAAAATAAATGGTGTTTGAATGAAAAGCACTGGGCATAGTGTTTAATACTATGCACGTATCCTGTGTAACGTATAGAAGGTCTGTTCCTGTGATGAACCAGAACTAAAGAGGTCTGCTTCAGTGACAGCCCTAAATTTAGTTACATTTTTGTGCTGATGGTTCAAGTACGGTTTGTGCTGTTTAAAACAGGGGACTGAAGAAATCTGATTTTAGGTTGTTATAGCATGTTTTACTAAAGGTTTTTCTGATTTAAGCAAGGAATCATGTTATTGCGAAATGCCAGTGTTGACACTTGTATTTGCCAGTTCTGGTACTTAGCAAGTTTTTTTGCTCCTGGGATTATCACTCACCCATTTCAGCATAATAATCCAGTGTCTGTTTTCCCCTCACTCTCTGAAAACCCATAGGCTATTACTTTTGAAAGTGCAATAATGCTTGGAAAAGTTGTTTTTAAAAAAGCCATTTATTTATAAATACATAATGTGAGGTTTCTGGGCATACTTAATTTATTCTGAGTTCCTGTAAAACTAATTGCAGCCAGGCAAACTGCAGTTATCCTTGTTCTTCCATAAACTAACATTCAGATTTAAATAACAAGAGAACTGTGTCTTTAACCATAAGAACATTAATCCTACTTTACAAATGTTTGCACACATTTATGAAATCCTGCCAATATTCTTCAGACTCGGTAGAATTCATCAGGACTTGTAAGCAAATAAAATTGACAAATTAAGAATTTTCTACGCTGCTTATTTAAGTGACCCATTGATTTATTCTAGTTGCATAGCAATAATAGCATCATTGATTTCTATGAATCTGTTATTAGACACAAGTAGCTGCATTGCTGTATGTTGCATGTTTGTGTGGAGAAAAGTAGTTTTTAGGAATTGGCCACAACAGAAATATGTTTTAGTCTGTTGAATAGATTGCCTTTTCATTCCTATTCAGGTGAATACCCAAGTTGAATGTTTACACATGCTGTTTTGTTTGCTAGTTACAATTTTGCAGAAATGCCATTGATTTATGAATTAAGGAATATCCTACCCCAGCCTACACAAGGAGATAAGGATGTTCAAAACAGTCTGAAATTATTCTTTATTTAATAGATGAGCTTATGCATTAAAGGTGTTAGACTTGTTTCTGTATAATTCAGTATGGAATATTTTTTTGAGGAGTTTGATCACAGCAGAGCTTCCTGAATGAGGAGGCAAGAGTCTGCTTTGAATCATTAGCAAACAAAACTTGTACCAGTAAAAGTGGAACCAAGGTACAGAAAGGTGGGTTTGCCATCAGTAAATTTAAAACAATTCATACTCCACAGAGACATGTGAATGGTTATTCAATCTCTATATTGCACCTTTCATTTGTCAATCTGAAAGTACATTAAAGATGCGAAATACATTATTCCCTGTGTGGCCGCATCCAGACGCACGCACACGCCACACACCGCACATGCAGGCATTCCCCGTGATGCTACCTTGCGGCATGGGGTTGTTTTTTGACCCCGGGAAATCCTGCCGAAAAAAGCAGGGTGGTACACGTGGCAGTAATGCACGCCGCCCAAAACCGGAGCCTGGCCAGCCAGAGCCACACTCCGGCTTCCTGCCACGGCTGCAGCTCCCCCAGGACCCCAGGTGAGATGGCTGGAGCCCGCAGAGTTGCTAACACCAGCCCTCCCCTACCCCACCCTACCTGGGGTAATGTGCCGTGCACTAAAGCACGCGTGGCACAGGCATTTCTTAGTGACAGGTAGCAACAGCACAAAAGCTACTTGTGTGTCACCTGCTACCTGTCCCAAGGGAAACAAACGTCCATGCCCATCTGGACGCGGCCTTGTAGGCAACAGCAATATTAAATTAGGTTTTATAGACTTAGCCCCAGTGTCATAGAGTGTAACACAGCCTAGTGCTAAATTTAGGGTACTAACATAAGCAATCTTTTAGTATGCAAGCTTGCTGTTAAGAACGCAAAAAGGAATGCTTAATAAAAGACACTTGCTGTTTCTAGATGAACTGTTTAGAGAGAAATGGATCTATGTAAGATGCAGAACAATCAGAAAGGTGTACGTGCACCTTTAGAGACGGTGTAATCTAATAAATCATGCCACATGCATTCTCTGTTTGGGGTGCTTGTTTCCCTGTTCACTGAAGTGCTCAGTTTTAGGAAAATTGAACACAACAATGAGTTTAGTACTTACAGTAGAATAAACGTATTGCAGCCTGTAATGTCTGTCTTGCAGTCTAAAAGGTTAGACCTTCAAATGAGATGTCATACAGTTTTAAATTATCATCCAGTTCTATTTCTTAATCATTCAATTTTTAAAGCACTTTAAAATAGGTGTAAGTTTGTATGTGCATAAAGCTACTGGATTTTCACTCAAATTTTGTAGAAGATATTTAATAAGATAATCATATGCAACTTTCCTGAGTCATTTCTATGAGAAATGTTTTGCCTTTAGAAAATCCAGCTTGAATCTCTGAAGGGACAGACGTCCAGTATACATTTCTGATGTTACAAATAGCTAACTGTTTTATTGGAGGTAGTTAAGTGTTGCTTTTGTGAATTTGCCATCTGTAAGTCCCGATTCATTATATGAAACAATGCAAAAATTTCCAAGTTTGCCTTAAATTCCTTCTGCTTAATTGAAACGCAAAGAACTGGATGATAATTCTTATATTTTTGCCTTATGCGCTGTGCTGAACTTTAACCCAAGGAGAATTTTAATTTTTAGTGGGATTTTGACCCATTGTTCAGAGTACTGTGCTGTACTCGGACATGTGCAGAGTGCTTTGGTCTGAGAGCATCAGATAAATGTAACTTGTGTATGTACAGTGTTTTCCGTGTACACCTTTTTAGCAACAGTGTTTTGTTTTTGTTGTTTACAGAAGTGGCATTTGAGTTACCAGAAAAAAATCTTCTGAAGAACGTGCATTCTTGTTCTTTACTAGTGTTCTCGATACATGTTGGCTATTGTGATAATGCTCTGTAACTATTATTATTGTAACAGTATTTCATTTAATGTGAAATGTTTTACTAAATAAATCTGGAGGAAAAAAATTATTTTTACATTTTGGCTGGATGGTGAATGCAAATGCAGTGTGGTTTTAATCTTCTGGATCTGCTGGCACCCATGTCATCTGTTACTCTAAGAAATGTGATTCTTGCTTTCATCTAAGAATTTATAATTGCATCTTGGATAAGACCTGAGAGGAAAAATCTCTCCTAAAATCTGCTCCCTGATCTTTGTGTGCACTGTTGTTGTTTCGGTTTCTTTTGAAAACGTATTTCAGCTGAGACTTTCAGACCACACTTAATCATAACCTTCACTACCCCCATGCATTTGCTCAGCTGCAAAACAAGATTTTTGTATCCTAGTGTCACACAACACGTGGCGATGCAAGCGTACAGATGAGACCGTAGGGCTGAAAAGTTGCATGTTTTTTGTTAGTGCTTGTATTTAACTTCTCAGTTGAAATGCTTTAAAATTAGCATTTCCTCTAGAGAGAGAAATCCCTTCCTGTATTTTAACACTGTGATAAAGCATCTGGAACAACACACGGTAGAGGACTGCAGGGGTCCTGCCCAGGCTGCAGCTGGGCCACAGTAGGTCTATATTTGAGCGCCAGCCCCATGCTTATGTCCCTTAAGGCTCCCAAATTCTCAGCAGCCCACATAAACCAGTTCTATGGGCTGACTCCAGCCTGCAGGCCATACTTTTGTCACCCCTGCTTTACAAGATGTACAAGAAGAAGCCCTCTGGCGGAACAGGGTAGGTGTCATCTCCCCTCTATCCTCCTGACTCTCAGAGTTAAAACTGGGCAGAATCAGTAAAACAGTAGAAATCAAAGCCTGGTTTGAGGAAGAGTTCTGCATCTTAATATATTGACACATTCTGTGGGCAAAACATTCTCCATCATGCTTCCACCTGTACACGGCTGGGCACTTTGCGCTCCAAACTCTCAGCCATATACGAAGCACTATTCTCTCTCTGTAAGCCACTTCACTTTCAGTGTTAGCCAACTCTCAGTTCTCACATAGACTCTTCTCTGCGAGAGGCCACTCCGGGAGTTTCAATTGCAATTGAAACTCCGGGAGTTTCAATTGCATACAATACAGCAGCAGCTTGAGGCCCCAAAACATATCCAAACTTACTTGTGCAGAATAAGACAGTCTGCCCTGGGAAGCTTTATAGTCCAAGGCTCCAGTTCTGCACGGGCAGTGGCACAGGCTGGCTGTCCATGCACTGTCTGTTCTACAACCAGGGGCTAAGTATAAGACAGACAAGTAGGACTGGGGACAAACATAGCATAAACAATGACATTCCCTAGTGTGATCCAGGAACTCCATCAACCTTCGTTAAACAAAACCTGCTCTGGCCCCATCAAGAGTTATACAAGCAAGAGAAAAATCCCCATCTCACCCCACTGTCTCTGAGACAACCTTTCAAATGGAAGTACTCCACTAAGGCACCTGTAGTTCACAGGGCTACGTCATCTACATTCAGAGCATAAGCCAGTCCTGCTGATGCTGGAAAGAATGAGTGAGGATAGACCTGATCTTTTTTTCTGTTTTAAGAACTGAGGCAGTTTCAAACGTTGGAACGTTTTTAGGATGTGAAGGCCAGCATGCAGAAGTTAGGAAATGCCTGAACTAAGGTTGTCTGGGGCATCTCAACTCTCTACCCTTGCATGTAAGCAGTGCATATTAAGGCCTGCATCACATAGTTCTCCCCCCGCCCTCATGGTGATATTGAGAATAAGACAAACGACACAGAAGGATTTCTCTTTTTTTATTTTAACGTAAAATCTACCTGTATAAAAATAAATGGAGCAACATTAAAAAAATACAGGTATTTTGCATAGTGTTCCCAATTTAAATTTTTTTTCTGTTGCAAAAGTACTGGGTAATACAATACCAAAACTACTATAGTTCTACTCTTTTCTTGGATACCAAGTACATATAAAAATATAGACCTCCATTTGGTGGGTGGCAATGATTTAACTGTGTGAAACTCGGCTAAGTGTCCTTTATTTCTCTGCCGCTCTAATATAAACTAGAGATGACAAAAGAAGAAATTCTGGGGGTTTATTTAAAAAAATTAAGTTGACACTTCTGAGACCATCATAGTGCATCCAATACCCGTCTATCTGGAAGGCCGCAGAATAATGGTGCTCCTCTTTATTAAACAGTGTGGCACCTTCCAGTAAATACCTGTGAATAAGAGAAGCAGACATGTAAATTCACCTGATGAGGGATGCCTTGCATTTGAGACCTTGTCTGCCTTTATTCATCCCCGCTGTGTGGGGGGTCCAATAACAGATACCACCCTAAAAATCCTTCTCTCTCATGTCAAATAGACATTTTAATATGCATGGCAGGCCACTAGCCTGGTAGTAAAAGAAATGCTGTGTTAACATGCTAAGACCTCCAGTAATAAAACAGCCTATATTTCAGGCAAATTTATCAACTGAAGGAGAAGGCCACTTTGGATATGAAACAGATTAAGGCAGGGATGGGCAATTATTTGGACTGACAGGCCACATAATGAGTTTTGGTGACTTATTGAGGGCCACATACTTTGTCTCCTGTCCCCCTACCCCATCCTTCCCTTCCAGTGTAGAAACCCTCTACCTACATGGCTTTAGCACACCCCGCCCCACGCCCTGGCAGCCAGAGTCCACCTGCCACAGTTTTAGCCTCCAACAAGTCTGGACCCAGTGGACACATCCACAGCTGCCCAAAAGCGCCAGGCTTCTGGATTAGGGCTCCAGGCACGGTGGGGGTGAAGGAAGGGGTGTGCTACAGGTCTGGGCTGGGGTCAGCGTGGAAGGCTGAAGCCACCTGCAGCTGTAACAGGGAGTGCTACAGCTGCGGGCCAGTTCAGGCTTCCGCACTGGTGGCTACTGGGAAAGAAAGAGAGAGAGAGAGAGAGAGAAAGAGCACGAGAGAGCGTGCATGAGCGCCTGACACACTGGAATTAGCTCCAGCTGCCTGGCACCGGGCGACTGCTGGAGCTGAAGCCACTGCCTGCCCATGGGCCGGATCCATTTACTAGGGCTGTGCGAAACAGCACCATTTCGTTTCGACTTCCGTTTTGCCACTTTGACGTGACAGTGTTTCGCTTTGAGTTCTGTTTCGTTTAGTTTCAAAAGCGCTGTTCCATTTTGTTTCATCGAACCTGTTCCTCTGTTTCAACATTTTGCCCATAGGCTATAATGGGGAAGCACAAAACTGCCTATAACTTTGTCATTTTTTGGCAGACCTGGATGAAAACAGCAGGGATGGTAGCCCCTTCTGAGGACATGAAGCCCGCCAGGTTTCAAGGAGATGGTGCAGGAGTTTCTGGGAAACTGCACGTCAAGCTGCTGACAAGCAAAATTTGTGACGTGTGACCGTGTGCGTGTGTGTTAAGGTGCTGGGGCCTCTACATGACACAGCAGTGTGCCCCAAGAGGCTTCCTCTTCCCCTACAGCCTCAGTCCAGTCCACCACTTTAACTGACAACAGGTAATAACTTAGTAAGCAGTGCAGTAGCAGCAGCAGCATCTCAGGCAGCCAGACAGTCACAGTCAATATCAGAGGAGAGCTCCCCCTCTCTCTCCTTACTTTCTGCTTCCCTGCAGGCAAGCCCAGCTCAGCTTCGAAACTCAAAACGTTTCGACTGCCCTCATTTTGTTTCAAGGCTGTTACGAAGCCCTTTGTTTCGTTTTGATTTCGCTGTTTTGAGTTCGAAACGAGTCAAAACAGTGTCAAAACAAAACAGCTGGCAAAATTTATCACAGGCCTACCATTTACTTGACAAGCACCCGCCCATGAGCCAGATCCAATCAGTTGGCAGGACTTGTCCGGGCTACAGACTGGTTTTTTCCACCCCTGGTTTAAGGAGACTTTGGAAACTGGAAGCTACCAGTAGCTGACAGCTAGCAAAGGCTACGTCCACCATCTCCTTCTGCATATGGAATCCACGGGCCCACTTTCATTTATGGATTACTTAGGATCACTGTTAGTTTCATATCTTCTAAGAGTTATTTCCTTCATTAGGCAATTGAGAGAAACACTTACTTGTGGTCGGATAAGGCCAGGTGATACGGGACATATGTCAAGTCTTCAGACTTCCACTGCTGCATATTTAAGACAACAAAGGGAGGTGCCCCGTGGCAGAAGATTCTCTGGGTGA